TGTGTAATGAAATGGCCAAAGAACGTTTATATTAAAGTAATAACTGAAGGAGAAAATGAGAAATTACTTTTTATGCAAATTAATGTCCTTATAAATTCATGGTCTCAACCTGTCCAATTTCTGAGAACAGTCTATCAATTCTGTTCTTTTTTTGGTCAGGTTCCTTAGTATCTTAATAAGTACCTAAACTTTTAAGTCTTTTAGTGTACTGTCACTCCCACTCTGCTTCTTACTCCCAAGAAACCTAAGCACATAACTTCTTTAAACCTACCATCCCATTTCCTTCTAATTTACTTTTATCCACAAGTAATGATAGAGTAGAATTGGTGATAACTCATGAAAAGATTTATTGAGATATCCTAGTCTGGGTTGGTAAGAAGGAATGTCCAGGAGGGAATGATAGGTTGAGGGTGTGGTAGGGAGGGCTGGGAGAATCCAAGAACTAGTGTCTCAGTTTTAATAACTTAGTTATTGAAAAAAAATCCAAAATTGATTTCTATAATGTGAGGTATTTCTATGCATTAATAATACCCATGTACATTTACACGTGGACATTGGTGGAAGTTATTCATTGAGCAAAGGGTGTGTTTTTTACTTAGCTGTGACAAATGCCAGAGACTTTTTTTTTAAATTGTTTATTTTTACATCATTTTGTACAGTTTTTTAAAATCTCATTTGTAATCCCCGTGGGTTTCCCATCACCAAGTCACCCGTGTGCCATCACCATAATCCTGTGCATTCCCCCCCCCCATTTTTGATCCGATTCCCACTCCACCCCCACAAAATGTCTCTGGTATATGGTTGTTCATTATTCTTATTATTTTCTTGCCTGGTCAATTATACTCCTGCTATGAGCGAAACCATCCATTATTTTTCTTTTTCTTTCTGGGTTATCTCACTAAGCATGATCTTTTCCAGTTCCACCCAAATTGCTGCAAAAGACTTCTGTTTCTTTCTTTTTTTTTTTGGTTGCTGAGTAATATTCCATTGTATATATGTACCACATCTTTTTAATCCAGTCATCTACCTTTGGGCAAATGCCAGAGACTTTTAAAAAAATTTTTTTGGGTGAGTTAAATTGTCTCCCAAAAAGTTGGGATATAGGCCAGAGGTGTGGGTGTGAGAGGATTCACCCAAAGACAGAGTGGGGAGAGAAGCAGGCTGATTGACTGTCAATCCAGATTAACTGCCAATAAATCACTGCTGAGAGGAGCAGAGGAGAGGTTGGTTGTGCATGTGGGTCACCATCCTGGCGGGGGATCAAACTTGTGCTTCACTGACTTCGAATAGCTTGACAGTGCTGAGACCTTTTGTGCCTCGGGGGCAGGGGTGCTATTTGTTGTTTAAATCACCCAGTTTTGTTTTTTTTTTAAGATTTTATTTATTTATGCATACAGAATTGCGGTACAAACCAGAGGTGCAGGGGTGGTGAGAACATTTACCAGAGACAAAGTAGGGAGCAGAACAGGCAGACTGACAAAGTACACTGCTGAGGGGAGCAGTGGGTGAGTCAGGAGAGGTCTGCTGTGCCACGTGGGTCACGTCTGAGGCCAGGGATAAAACTCACACTGAAGTGGCTGTGGCTCACTTGCAGTGCTGTATCCTAACCTGTTGCGCCACCAGGGACGGACAGCCTTTAGTACTTTCTTATAGGAGCCTTGGGAAATTAATATAGTCCCTTAGTTTGTGACAGAAACTAGTTTCAATTTAATAATATGGAGTTACTTTATCAAAGGACAGACTTTAACTATGTTTTGTACATTGTGATAACTGAGGGTAAATTTTGAAAACCAGATTATGTACAGAATGACAACTAGATAACTGGCTGTTGATGGTATTTAAGATAAACAAAATTTACATGATCTGGTTTATTCCACCCCATCTTTGAGATCTGTAATTCCATCTAAAAATCAGCAATTTTTTGGAGAGAAATTAATTTTAAGAAAATTTAAGCTAACAAGTAGACTACTATAGTTTATAAATAGGAATCTTATAATTAAATCCTTTTTAAAATCATGTATTATAGCATGCCATTCTGTTAAATAACTAGACAAAAGAAGAGATTTCTTTTTTTTTTCCTTAGCTCACTTTGCCAAACCAAAGTTGTTTGGATTACATTCTTGAGATTTTATTTTAGAGAAATAAATTTTGGAATTTGTCTATGACATTCTTTACATAACTGCAATAAAGACATTTCACAGATCTTGAACCATATTATCAGCTATAATATTTTTTTCTGATTAGACTTTAATTTTTTCAAGGTTATCTATTAGTTTTCTATTCCTGACATAACAGATTATTACAAATTTAGCAGCTTAAAACAACATATTGTAATGGTTCTTTACGTTAAAAATATAAGTGGAATTGGCCTGGGTCCTCTGTTTGCCATCTCACAAAGTCAAAATCAGGGTGTCAGCTGGGCTAATTTCTTACTGAAGATTCTGGAGAAGAATTTGTTTACAAACTCATACACATTTTCAACCAAATTCAGATTTTGCTATTTTGTAGGACATAGGTCCTGCTTCCTTGCTGTCAGCTGGATGCTGGTGCTTATTTCTGGAACTTCCTGTATTCTTTGTGGCTCCCTGCTTACACAGCAAGAGAGAAGTTGAGTTCTTCTTAGACTTCTAGTCTCTCCGTCCTTCTACTGTATCTGTCCAACTGCAGCTAAAGAAAGTTGTCTGCTTTTAAGAGCTCATATGATTACATTGAATCCACCCACATAATGCAAAATAATCTCCCTATATTAACTTCTGTAACCTTATTAAAACCCATAGATTTCTTTTGGGCATGTAATATTTTCACTAGTTCCAGAGATTAGGGCATGGACATCTTTGGAGAATCATTCTGCCTCCCATATTTAATGTCAACAATTTTGATGATTAGTTGTATTATTTATAAGAAGAGTTAACCTACCAAGAATAAATATAAAAGATGAAAGTGTTGTATGTATTATGATTAGTTAGTCCAAGCACTTCACCTCCTTGAAATAAAGTAAAAAGCTAATGTTTGCTAAGGAGGAGGAATTTTAGAACTTGTTGGACATTACAGAAAAACACATTTCTCTGTAAAAAAAAGGAATAATAAACTGTAATGCCATTTACCTTGTGATAGTTAAATTTTACAACAAAATATACTTATTTTGACATTCTAGTCAACTTTCATTGCTTGATTAATTGGCTACCCTCAATATTACTTAGGAGTGAACAGAGTAGACAGCCCATACAAACCAAGCCATCAACATTTTCCTGTATCTTAGTTTGTCACAGAGTAACCAAAGACTAGAATTTCCTTCATAATTGGTACTGATAGCTCCACATGGTTGTATAACTATCTCTAGAGAATGGACACTCCTTGAAGTCAGAGACTCTTCGTTCATTTTTGTATCACCAGTAAGTATTTGTAGGTACTTCACAAATATTTGCTGAAAATGACAGAGTTCATGAGCAAAGCAGTTATCAAGTACTTACTTTATTAAGTAGCCACTGTGTGTGAACAGGTTAATCATCTGTTCATTTGGAGTTTACTAAATGATCTACTTTCAGGCTAGGTCTCCTGATGTCTTTCTGATTATTCTTGGCCATTGTTGCTGTAAAAAAACTGCGGTTTTCCGTTTCATCTGGTTATGTAACATAAGTTCAAACTAGAAATAGGGTGCCTTGAATTCTGCTTCGATATTAAGTTATATTATTCTGAAGCAAATAGTTTCTGAACTAAACTTATCTATCTATAAAATGAAAATGTAAAATTTTAAGATGTTTTTCCAACTCTAACATTTGTGAAACTGAACATTGTTATTTTGAATAACATGGGAAACTTGAAATATAAAGGCGTTTATTATAAGACTTATTTAAAATGTAAGTATTTAATTTTTTCACCCTTGTTTAGGTGTCAGCATTCATAAAATTCGTCACTTTATCTTAAAACTTAATTGCCTTTATTTTAATGTCTGAGAGTTCTGTCTAAACCATTTATCATTTCATTTAATTTTTCAAGACGGAAAGAGAAAGAAAAGTTCAATGAGATACTGCAAATGCAATTTTTTATAAATAGAAAAGCAAACACATAAAGAAGAGGGGAAAATATCTGACATGGACAAACTTGAGCCTATAGATTTTCTATTGGTAAGTCAAAAGCAGGGCCCAGTAAGGAAGTCAGCTGAACTAGATTCTTATTTTCCAAGTTTTAACTACCAGACTGAGAAACATTTCATTCCCTTACGTAACAATTGTGGAGGGAAGGATGAAGCTAATAGTTAATTTATTATGAACATCATGCTACACCAATTAACTGAACTTTTATGTTGCCCATACATTATATAAAGAAATGAAATGGCTTTTCTCTTCTTAATTTTTAGTTTTCATTCTAACGCATAGAAATACTTCATTTTAATAGGTCCATCTTAAGTCTAAAAGACATGTTTAAAATTTAACTCTTACTCAGTAAGAACTAAAAAAAAAAAAACTATTCCAATATGAATTGTAGTATTTGTCTAATTCTTTTTCCCCACCCCACTGTTACCTGATTATTGCTTTGTGAAGAAGCTTAATATACTAAATTTATTAACTTAGTTTATTCGAAATAGTTCTAAGATATTTCATGCCTCTAAACAGAACCAAAACCCAGGTAATAAGGAAGAGTAGACATGAACCTTGAACATAGATTATATATTGTATACCTGGAAGAAATTTTTTTGATCATTTCTTAGAAACTCTCATGTCATTAATGGGATAATTGAGACCAAGAGTGGTTATTTTACTTGTTCCAGCTTTTATTCCTGGTTTGTAGCAGAAGTAGAACTTAACTCAGGACTTTTAGTCCCAGTTACATTGCTCCTTCTCTTCTGCAGTGCTTGTTTGAACCACTAAAACTAAAAACAGAACTATTTTGCCAATAGTAAAAAGTGAAAAATATGATACGGCCAGAAGTGATAGTATCTAAAATTATGTTTTTTACTTAAATAAAGTGTGTATAACTTCATTTACTATTGTTCTGTTTAGGTGAAAAGAGATTTGAATGCCCAGAATGTTCTAAAAGGTTTATGCGAAGTGATCATCTCTCCAAACATGTCAAAACGCACCAGAATAAGAAAGGTGGTGGGACAGCTCTTGCCATTGTTACCTCGGGAGAACTGGACTCATCTGTTACAGAGGTGCTTGGCTCCCCAAGAATTGTCACAGTTGCAGCCATTTCTCAAGATTCAAATCCAGCAACTCCTAATGTTTCAACCAATATGGAAGAATTCTGAAAAGTTATTTATAACAGAGACCTCTAGTGCTGCACTTAAGTTTACACACCTTTGAAAATCTGGAAATGGGCTGGTCAGGTGGATCACAGAGTAGGAAATCATGTTTTCATTCTTGACATCTTTAAGTATTCCAGGGTTTGAGTCAACAAGTGAAGCGTTGAAATTTTAAAAACACAAAAATTAAACTGATGTACTGGAAACAGAAAAGTATTTCCTCCATACCATACGTTGTAGTTATTTGGGAATATGTCACGTAACCTTTAAACTGAATCTTCCCCTCTCTTAACATCATGTATTAACATGTTTAAAAAGCTAGACTTCAGTAGTTGGCAGGCTGGACCTTAAGGACTTGTTTTCTTTGAAAGTACTTTGTTATAAACTCAGTCAGTAATAACTTACATGATTTTTTTTTTTTTTTTCCTGTAGCACAGAAAACAGTTAACTAAAGATAGGGGTAATACTTTAGCTTGACTTTTGGAAAATCAACTCAAAACAGTTTTGGCCATCTTTTTGAAATGTTAGAAATTCTTCAACAGTTGAATTAGGTAAGTTCCAAAAAGTAATCTGAGATCATCTCAGATCTTTATTACCACTACATTATAGTAGTGTGTATGCAGACAATCAGTGAAGTCCAATTACTTTCTCCATTTGGAGACCACAATAGGAACTTAGAGCTAAACCTTAGATTAAATTTTAGATGGAAACCTTAGGAAAATATTTTGGGGGAAAATGGTTAAAACAAAATTCATAATAGCTTCAGAAAAATTAAGTGAGACAACTGATAATGTAAGGTTTTAAAGGTAGGATTGATTGTATTCCTAACCCTAGGTTGAACCACAAAATTCATTTTAAATATTTATATTGGAAATATTTGCATAGAGTATAAATCACTCTGTAGTTTCATATTCTGTAAATATGAGTTATGTTGACAATATGCAGAATTCTTTATGCTTTGACTTGGTAGCCAAAGAATTATCACACTTTTATTTAAGGCCAGCAGAAAATGATCTTTTAACTACATTATAATTTACATTTTTCTCTCTACTAAAAATTAGCCAACCCAATTTTAATACTGTGTTAGAGGAATGATTAAGAATTTATAAAGAAGTAATGTCTTTGTTATGTCAGTAACTGAATTTTCCCTAAAAAGACAGTCTAACAAATATATAATAGATTGATATTATGAAACAAAAGTTATTTTTAAAAATCAGAATAATTTTCAGTCAAGTAGCTAAAGAAAAAATATACTTCATTGTTTATGCAAGGGAAAGATGGCTAAAAGTTTCATATAAAAATTGGATTATTTATACCAATAGCTTAAATATTAGTAAGATGTTTCATGTTTTAAAAAGGCATTTATAGAGAATCATAATGGAATTGATCATTTGAAAACTTAAAGGTTTTTAACTGCTCGGTTTATTATTATTGACATCATTAGTTTGGGGACTGTTTGACTATAGATACATGTTTTCTTGTGCATTCTCTATTATTTCAGGAAAAAGACCACTCATGTGAATTCTCTTCCAAAATTGTGATGTTTCTTGTATTTTTGATGAAGGAGAAATACTGTAATGATCACTGTTTACACTATGTACACTTTAGGCCAGCCCTTTGTAGCGTTATATAAAACTGAAGGTCTTTTGTGCTTTCAGTTTGTATAAAAAAGCTTTGAGATTAAAGGAAAAAAATTTTTACACTGTGGTTATAAATTTCAAGTTTCTTAAAGCTTTTGTAGACTTGTAACAAAGTCTTTAAATTTTAGTTGGATTTTGTAAATTGTTTTGTATATTTTATTTAATGTACTCTTAACAACTGATGTATCTGGCTTTAAAACATCAGACTCAGTTTGTTGTTTTGTTTGGTACAGAGGAGCATTTGGTAGTGTTAATTATAATTTTATTATATAGGAACTGAAACATCAAATATATATTTTATCTATCATTATGCTACACAATCAGTGCTATAAATTTTTTTATGCAAAGAATTTTTCCTAATGTTTGAATCATGTTTCCTCAGAGTGACATTTTCTGTTGTTGTTAATACCAAGTATGAGCTCTCTGCACCTTTATCCCATGAACCAGTTACCAGTTGGTTTCACTCATTTGTGGAATTTAAATAACCATGAACCAGTTTTAATGCATACCTATGTATGTTAATCAGAAATGGAAGTTATTTTTTAAATCAACAATGAGGCCTATTATAAATTTAACAAACTGAATCTGAATAGCTTTATAGGATATAAAAATATATTGTTTGTGTTAACAGGTGCACATTTCACCACGAAATAGAAATATTTTGACAGTCTGTTCTGCATACCATTCTAAATTCACTTTTCTGTCTTATAAGAATCGTAAATTTCAATGTCCTTTATTTGACTCAGTGGGAGATAGCTGTTATAAGTAATATGGCACAGATGTGCAGTAGAGTCTTGTTTAATGGCATTTCACTGTTCATTCCCTTTGCCACCATTATGGAACTTTTCTTTATTGTAATTATCAGTGCAAAGCTACGTATTTATCATGGTAGAGCTCCAGTGTTAGAATAGGTTTTTCTTACAGTATACTTTCTTTGGTTAGGTTTGTGTATGTGTTGCTGATTACATTAGAACTTGATGTTAAGTCATTATTTATCACACTCTCATGAGAGCAGTAATAAAAGTGTGTAATCTAGGAGAAAAAGTTAATTTGTCAAACTTAGATAAGCATGATGTTTAGGTCCTATTTTTCAATTTTATAACTGTTTTATTGCAACAATATTTGTATTTAAGTCTTCATTTTAATGCCTTGTGGTGTTTTTTTATGCATGTCACTAAGTTGTCATCCCACATAAATTGATGTGCAGCATAGGGTATTAAATCTACATATGATTTTAAAACAGAAATAGTTGATGGTAAAATGTAAATGTTTTGCAGAAATTCCTTATAAAAAGTTTTGTAGTAACATTTCACTTGTAAATTTTTTTGTAAAAAAAAAAAACCCCAAGAAAATGGAAAAAAAAAAAAAAGATGAATCCAGAAAAAAACCTGTTTCCCATATCCTAGAATTTAGACAATTATTCTGCCAGCAAAGCCTCTGGGGCTGTAATTGACATTTTTACAGTGCTGATTTGTATAAAATTTGTTTTTTGTGGATTTGGAAATAAAATCATGTACAAGTTGTTGCCTGCAATAACAATTGCAAGTAACCTATTAAAAATTCCCTTGAGTTTAACATGTTTCTTCATTTAATTATGTATACCATAAAGCAGCAATAAATTGTTCAAACATTCAGCCTTCTTATCACAAACACTGGAAAGTAAATGCTTTTCACTAGAAAATATACTAGCAACTCTTTGTAATTCCTGGTATTAAGATCTAGTCACCATTTCTCTGAACATACTTCCAAAGAACACCAATTCAAATTTCATGTTAATTTGTAGTCATTGCTTTAGACACTTATGGAAATTAAAATTTAATTTAGAGACAGTTTTTACTTAAATATTTTTGAGCAATAGATGTTAGAAAGTTATAGGGAGACCTAAAGATGCAAACATTATAAATATTATTTAGACTTTCAGAAACACTTAAGCAATGTATAGTCCATGATGCCAAAAAACTATAAGCAAAAGCTGCTTTTTTTTCTTCTGGGAAAGCCATGGAAACTTCATGAAGACATAAGAAATACATTATTGTAACAATTTCAGTTATGAAATTTCCCCACTCAAGATTAGGTATAACAAAATGTGTGGGGGCAGGGGAAATGTTAAGCACCAGGAGAATTACACTGACCCAGTGAGAGTCTTGAAATCCATAATAGTCACTATTTAGTGTTTGGATCTATCGCCTTCAGCAAAGCTGTAAGGTAAAGAAAGACCTGGTTACGTTAAAACTGTAATAATAATAACGTGTTTATACAACGACTTTGAATCAGAATTGAATTTATGCTACTTGGCAAACAAGAAAAGGAATACAATTTTGCAAAGATTTTTGTCAAAAGTAAAGATGTAATATTTCAAAGTTGCTTGGAAAATCACATTTGGAGATACTGCATTAAAGGGGGGTTGATGCAACTAGAAAATAAGATTTTGTGTTTTTTTATTTTTAGTGTGGTAATACTACTTTAATTCTTGGACATCTAAGAACTTCAGCTACCTAGCCATGAACAAGACTGAAGCAGAGAAAATACCATGAAAGTAATGTTCTTTATTTTTTTCATAGACTGTTGACATAAAGCTTATTGTTGTAACAAGTTAGGAAATTTAAAGAGCGCTAAGAGCACCATTGTAACGTGGTATGGTTTACAATTTTTTCATAATGATAAGAAATGAAGGGTAAAAGATGTCATGTTAATCCTTATTAATAGCTCAGATGCTTAAAGAGGTACTGAGTATATGCAAGGAAGGTGAAATACTTCATTCCTCAATACATCTGAATTATATATTACCTTATTTATTGCCCCAGCAGTAACTTGTGTTCTATATACACACAACCAATTTGTAATTGTTGTTGCTGGATTTTTAAGGACTGTATTCTTTTAAGATTTACTAATTAGCTAAGGCTTAGACTGTGTTCCTCTTAGTAGCAGGTGGCATTGAAATTATTGGCCATCTGAGAGTAATTGCAAGTGCAGATCATTTAAGAAAAAAAGGAAGGAAGGCAGGGACTAAGGAGAATAAATCTTGTAAACTTTTTATTTTTGTTTACGGTAATAGTTTGGCAAATGCTAAGATAATTTTTCCTGGAAGAAAATATGTTCTAATTATAAAAGTGTTACTAGATTTCAAAATTTTAATTAACACTCAAATTTTCATGTATTAAAGAAAATCAATATGCTTTTGTAATAACTTGACCCAGAAAAGTAATTTATATATGTACCTACATATACAGTAACTCTTTACAATAAAGATTTAGGTCAGTGATACATAATTGTATTAGGCAGTAACAAAATCTACTGTTTAACAGGAAAAATATGTTCCTGTTAAACCATGTATTCTGCTCACATATTGTATTGGGTACTCTATCCTTAAATATATGGTGCATTGTCTAGTGAAAACCAGGGAAACTGGGTGATAACTAAGCAAAAATTCCAAATGAGCTTATGATATTTAAAATGTCTCATAAAAACAAAATATATTACCATATTAAAATTTTTATTCAAGAAAGTAGGTAATAATGATCTCTGCACAACTGGCACCAATAAGAAAATTGTGCCCCCTGGAAGCAATCCACTAGGTTTTTGTTCCTTTTATTTTTAATAAAGTTATGTTTATATAATTAATATATGGTACGTTTAACACTTTAGACATATCACAATACATTTGTGTTGGATAAAGAAGTTCAGACTTCAAAGTAAAACCAGTTTGTTTTTAAACCCACTGAACGAAGGAAAACAAATTGCACATAGGCCTGATTGTACACGTGACCTTAAATTTCATGTACAGATAATTTACATATCTACTTTTTTTAATCATTTATTTTAAGAATTATTTATGCATACAAAACTGGGGTATAGGCCAGAGGAGCAAGGGCGGTGATAGGATTCACCAGCAACATTGGGGAGCAGAACAGCTATAGATTTAAAAAGAGTACTCTGCTGAGGGGAACAATGGGCAAGAAAGGAGAGGTCTGCCTCACTATGTTGATCACCTCCGGAGCTGGGGATCAAACTTTCACTGAAGCGGCTGCAGCCATCTTGCAGTGTTGTGCTTTAACCTGCTGTGCCACCACAGAGGGCCATAACTGCATTTTTTTTTTTTTTTGGTTGAAGTAAAATCGAGTTAAAACGCTATGATTGGGCCCACCCTGATGGCACAAAGGGTTGTAACAAGCACAGCACTATGAAGCTATCCAAAGCCACTGCAGTATGAGTTCGATTCCTGGCCAGAGAGGTGATCTACATAGTATAGCAGAACTCTCCTGACCCTCCCACTGCTCTCCTCAGCAGTGTACTTCAGGTTGTCTGCCTGTTCTGCTCCCCATTTTGTCTCTGATGAATCCTCTCACGGCTACCCCCTCCCCCCCCCCCCCCCGGTCTTGGCCTGTACTCCAGTTCTTGTGTGCATAAATAAATCTTTTAAAAAATAATAAAAATGAATAAGAAAGAAAACTCCCTAAACCTGCCTGTCTTTGTTGAGTTCACCCATATTAAAAAGTGCTAAGGACAAGAGAGGACAAGTAGGACAGGTCATGAGAGCAGGGGCTGCTGTTGTAATTAAGGTAGACAGAAAAGCCTCCCTGAAGTGATGTCAGCAATTCCTGAAGCAAAGCAAGGAAGTAAACCTTGCACATTGTATCTGAAGGAAGTTGCGGAAGGAGGGATCCAGTGAAGCACAGTTGAAGCACAACCACCTAGAGGGACCAGACTCGGCAAGAGGGAGGTAAGAACAATATCCTGTAGTCTTGATTGTTGCCACTGATATGAAAAAGCCTACTTAAATGGGATATATTGATCTCCTTGGTAATAGCGAGCTCTGCAGCATCACTAAAGAGAGATCACTAATTGGGAGGAGGCAGAGAAGTGTGAACTTGATTCCTGGTTCAGCCACACAACTTAGGACACATGATCTAACTTGTCTGCACTCTTTTTTTTCCTTTTTTTTTTTGTAAAATGAGATCACAGTTCTCTTAGGATCAAATCAGATAAATATCAACTCCTTAATATAATAATATATTGTTAATTATAAGTTAATCCAAAAGGTGTTGGTCGTATAGCTGAATATTTTCCTGCTGGATCAATGCTGAAATGCTTTGAACGTGTGCCACAGTGTGAAAGGTTTATTCTCATTACCCCACTTAAGAAAAAGAGGATGGTAGTTCCATAGGAATTCTGAATCAAGCATCTTCCTCAAACTGCTTGCCAATGAGCTAATTTGGGATGTTTTAGCTCAAAATTATGTAGTGGTCATCTTTTTCAGTTCTTCAAGCATAAAGTTTCAACTCAAAGGCTTTTTTCCCCTAACTTTTAAATTAGTTAATTTAGTTAAGTCCAACTACTGCTTGCCTAACTCATAGTAATAGCAGACAACCAAACAAGATAACATGAAGAAATCGGTTATGAGAAATAGCTGCTCATGTCCAATAACTTTATGGATATGTTTATGGGCAATTTATTTAAAATTATTCCTTATATTTAGAGAGATGTTTATTAAATGAATGAAATGAACAGAGGTTTTGGAGAAAATGTACTCCTGTGTTTTCACCAGCCTATAAAATTGCAGACACACAAAAATGCAATTTGGTGTCCTGATTTTTTTTTTTAATCCGAACATCTTCCTTCAGACTTGGTTCAGAAAAGAATAGGATGCTTTATATGTATGAACTCAAAGCAACTTTGGCTTAGATATTTAGAATCTCTGTAGAATTAGGTTATAAAAATATTACTCAAACTGACTTAATGACATGAAGACTCGGAGGCGCCTGGCTAGATCCTGCTCTCCATTTACAGTCGTCTTATCCAGTTAATTATCTGACCTTGATTTAAGATCCCACTTCTGATTCTGACATGCCCTTCTGTTGCAAAGCTCACTTTCTTTAGAGATGCTTTTTCCTATTGGTCAATTATATTTATCAAGCACCTATTTATTTTGTCAGCAAAGTTTCAGATACAAGGAATACTCTCTTTTTTTGCACTAACCTTGCATCCTGACCACTACTATATTTCTAGAAAAGATGGCACTCCTTTCACTGATTCCTAGGGATGGGTTGACCAGCATTTTGCAGAAAAGAGTGCAGTAAACCAGCATCTAGAGAGAGGCCCAAGTTAAGATGACAGGTTTCAAGTCAGAGTCAGAGGAATTAAGATCAAAAAGAAGTAGAGCTGGGAATTAAAAAGAAGTCGAGCTGGGAATTAAGATAAAAAAGAAGCAACCTACAGGAAACAGGAGAAAATTTCATGTAAGCAGTTGTTTCAGTCACTAATTTGTCTTTGAATCATGGTAGCCTGGATGGTTGGCATGGTTGAAATTGTTATTTATTATCCTGCTATGAAAGTATTTTATTGATA